GGAAGAAAAGGGTGACTTTATGATGGAGTAAAGTAACAGATACTACTTTGGCAGGGGAATCAAGGTCGACATCATGTTGAGTATGTACTCTTGATGTGATGAAATGACACTTTATATTTGTGCTTTTCCTTCCTTGAACAGTCCTAGTGTCATAATGAGGAAAACATCAAATTCCTACAAAATAGTTGCCCAATGTTCCTGAAAATTGTTAAGAAAGTCTGAGAACTGCCTCAACATAAGGCCTGAAAGCAATGCTTCCTCAGAAGCATCAGAACCTTCTAGATTTTGATAAACTCCCTGCCCTTCTAGGTTCTGATAATCTCAACTTCTTCCCTTTAAATCTCCCATGGTTAGGGCTGGTGGAGTAACTCAAGTGGTAGTGTGCCTGCCGGGGAAGCACAAGGCCCTGAATTCAAACCAAAGTGCCACAAAACAAAACAAAACAAAAAACACCTTCCAGGTTTAGAGGCAGTGCTGCTTCCTGCCCCTTGTAGCTCTGAGCTACATTGATTTTTTTTTCTTTTGCCCATTCCGCCTTCCCATATCCAGTTCCCTCTATAAATTCCTTCTGTTGAAAAACCTTGCATGATTTCTATTCTCCTGTGTTTGGTAGTAGGAAAGAGACACTCAGCTATTGGTCTCAGGGATTGGTTTGACTGTGTTCTTGGTTTCACATGCTGGGCTGAGTTTTTTGTCAATGAGAAATGCCACACTAGTATGCTTTTTCATGCAAAGTCACAGTGGTTCACTTACCATCTTACAGATGGGATGAAATGTCTACTGAAATGAATGTTCGTGAGATGATATAACTTTTGATATACAAATTGAGAGTGAAAAGGACAATAGGCATAAGTTGTCACTGTCCCTTGGTTACCCTAATTATAATAGTAATTTTGAATACAGAGCAATAGAGAGGGATGGTCTTACCCAACTGGGGAATTTTCAGAAAGGAAATTACTAGCTCAAGGTTTTAAATTGCTACCTTCAAGAGAACCAGATGTTCTATGGCAGCCCTGAAATGATCTCATTTCTTTAGCCACAAGGCTAATATACAAAAACATGACCAACAGTAGAGTACCTACCTAGTAAGTGTGAGGCCCTGAGTTCAAACCCCAGTACTGACAAAAAAAAGACCAAAATTTAATTGTGTCATAGAATTAATGTAAATTGATCTCATAGATATCAATAACTCTTCTGTGAAAATGCATTATTTTAGAGAGGGACCCTGGGATTTTGGATAGATCTGGATAGATTTGAATGAGCTGAAAATCTTGCACCCAAGGCCTCTCTGCCAGTGGGAACTTTTGGCTTCTAGACCCATAAAATTAGAGTTAGATCTCAGCCTTCCCCAGGGTGAAAAAGTAAAGTCTAACCTGGGAAGAATTAGTTTGTACTCCAAAAGAATGACATCATTGTGCTAATTCATATAGGCCTGAGGGATTATTGGGATAATGGAATCAAAGGAAGATAAAATGTAACATTAAATCAAGTGTACGGACTGGGTGGACTTATCAGAGAGTCTGGATTAATGTGTCAGTCCATCCAGCTCAGAGTGGAAGGACCATCAATTAACCCAAACAGAACTCATCCAATCCTCTCTACCTTAAAAAAACAAGCAAACCTTGAGCATGGACTATGAGAAAATATTTATATACTGACTGCACTGGAATACCCTCCCCTTGCCATAGCCATTCAGGATTTAGTATTTGTTGAACAGCATGGATGATACTATAGCTCTTTATTCATCCAAAATGGATTCATTTTGGACCTCAGACCTCAACATTTATGACAACATTCAATTACAGCGTTTTAAGTATCTAGTTAGAAAGTTCCTTCCACTCCAAGAAGGTTCATTTAGGAAAGTCCTATCAGGAAAGCAACGCCCACCTCTGAATAAGTAGAGTGACCTCTTGCTGTCAGTGGTTTTATGAATAGAGATCCTGAAGACAGCCTAGCTGCTCCTATAAAATACCCTTAAAAAATTATTGCTTAGAGGTAGGGATCAGCTTCCACAGTGATGTGAGAATTTCTGAAGAGTTTGCAAATAAAGAATATGAAGTAGGATCTGAGAAGCTTCCAAGCTCTTTCTAAAAATAGCCTGAAATCAGTAGAAAAAACCCTCAGCATTTTCACCTATCCAAACTCTTTTTTTAACCAAACAGGCTGACAGGATTTCTCTTCTAACAGGTCAATGGTAGTTGAGCAAACAACTACACAGATTACTAGAGGGTCAAATTCAGAAAGCAGAGCACTAGCAAGTTGTAAAATGACGAACGAACTTTTAATAATGCAACAGCCTTAAAATGGTGTTGAGATTGAACTGCTGAGCCCAGAATTATCTATGTCAAATTAATTACACCTCCCTAGTCTTTTTCTTCCCACTGAAATAAAAATGATAATGAGCAAACTGCTCAGCAAGATGAGTATCAGCTCTTTCTTTGAAAACTCAGAACTCAATGAATATCAATTATATTATGTGCTATGCCTGAAAACTCTAAGGATTAAGAACTGTGCAAAATTATTTTTATTTCAGTGTCAAATTCCAAAGAAAAACACCCAGAAACTGCTGCACACATTTGTTTTTATAGCTTTTATTTTTAGGATGTGGATTTGAACTCAAATTTCAGCGAGTTACATGTGCTCCATCTAGCCAACAGTGAAACAGGGAAAGGTTTATTTGAATTTGTATCACATTGGAAAACAAGCCTTTATAAAATCAAACCTGCTATTGCTGAGGGGTCCAAGACACATGGACCATTGGGATAATATTTACATCCTTGAAAAAAAGAGCTTTCTTCTCAATTTCTATTTCTGTATTTCTGTTGGAGCCTAACACCACTGCAGCTTTTGTATTTCTGTTGGAGCCTAACACCACTGCAGCTTTAGAAAATAGTCTCTTTTTTGATTGTATCTAAAACAGAAGGGGAAATAAAGATCCTAATTGAAGCAGCCAACCAAGATTGCAGAACCACAGGTAGCATCACCCAGGCAGGCACTGGTGGCTCACACCTGAAATCCCAGCTACTTGGGAGGCTGAGATCAGGAGGATCACGGTTCGATACCCAGGCAAATAGTTCGAGAAATCTACATCCAAAAACATCAGAACAAAATGGACTGGAGGCATGGCTCAAGTGGTAGAGTGCCTGCTTTGCGAGCACAAAGCCCTGAGTTCAAACCCCAGTCCCACTCGACCCCTCCAAAAAAACCCCCTAATTCTCTAAATTGTTGATAAGAGCCACAGAGTAGAGATTTAAGTGGAAAAGCCCATCTTAAACATGGAAGAATAATGTTTTAAGGAATGGTTAGATTGTTTCCCTTGAGAAAGCTTCAGTTTGTGGTTCACATTGGAAAAGTCTAGTCAATTAAAACCTACACTGTATTGTACACATTTCTCATGTTGCTGCATAAATGAATCTCATCCCCAGGCTTTGAAAGATAGCTTTATCCAGGAGACAGTGAATTTGCGTGTCATCTCATCTTTTTGCATTATAGTAAGATTGATTTTATGATTCTTTTCTCATAAATTATGGGCTGGAGGCAATCAGAGTCTGGGAAGTGAGTGCTATTGCTCATCTTCCCTAATTTTAGGCCCAGGCATGTCACTTGTTCTTTTCTTCTGTACCACACAGAGCTCTTTAAGCTTGCAACCATGGTTATTGTTCTCCACCTGGCCAGGAGTGGTCTGTTAGAACCAGGACATGATCTTGGTTGTGAGTATCTGGAAGTGAGTATCATCCCTGAAGGCTTTAGCACATCATTGAAAAGGATTATTTTGTTAAGGATTTATCATGTGGATGGGAAGTGTAGATCAGGAGGATGGCGGTTCAAGGCCAGTCAAGGTAAAAAAACCAAAAAATTAGTGAGACTCCATTTCAATCAATAAGCTGGGCATAGTGGTGTGTACCAATAATCCCAACTGCAAGAGGCATAAGTAAGAGGATGTGGTCTGGAAAAAATATGGGTCCCAAAACTCAATTGTCTGGGCTGGTGTGTCATGTCAATCTCAGAATGAGGTGAAACAGCTCATCACGGAAAACAAAAAAGTACACGTCAGTTCACTTCTTGCTCAGTTGACTTCAATGTGGCTGTGATTTCTCAGACTATCCAGAAAGTAAGATCTTGAAATTAAGAATACACTCCCAGGAATAAAATATACATACCACTGGGCTGGGGACAGGGATCCGTGGTACGTGCTGCCCAGCATGCATGAGGCCCTCCCTGGGTTTGATCCCAGGCCTGACGCACACACACTGACAGTTTATATTTAACCATATATACATATACAATAATACACTGCACTAATACTCAGTCAAGACTTGGGCTGCAGATTTCCCCTTTTAGACAATCTGCAGCACTGCTGACCCCTCCCCCATGGTCACACCATTCGTCTACTGTCTCTCTAACGAAGTTTACCACATAATATGGCTGAATGTCTCTGTATGAACACTGAATTCTTACCTGGACTATGACTTCTTGAGTGGAAACAGCTTCTTTCTGTTTTCCTGGTACTTTAATACTGGTTCATAGAAAGTTCTCAAGAAATATTTGTTGAATGAACAAAATTCTTGGTTTTGGATGAAATAATTGTCTTCTTTCTGGTACGTTTTTAGAAACAACTCAGAAAAATCTAATGCACACCACACTCACCTAAGTAGTGAGTGCACATCAAACAGCCTTAGGTGGATCTCCTTGAGGCGGAGGGAGGGGCATAGATTAGATGAAGTTAAAAACCAGCCTCTGGGCTAGGGACATGGCTTAAGTGGTATGGGGCCTGCCTAGCAAGCTTGAGGACCTGAGTTCAAGTCCCAGCTCTGCAAAAACAAACAAAAACAAATCCAACCTTCTACAAAGTATCCCGTAGTAACTTTCTTTGTTGGCCTAAGACCAACTAAGTCACATTCCACTTCTGAGGCTCCTCTAGCATTAAGCAAACTGGCATGCACTGTTCTTCTTGCCTATTCTGTCTTTGGCGAAAGAGGTACAACTTTTACTTGAGTTACTCCAGCAGAACAATTACTGTAATTCTTTAAATTCCACTGGAATTATTAGTTTTCCAAATAAGATACTGCAAAAGACTTCAGAGTGGTTTGAGCCAGATTTTGGACTGAGGATATAAAATTTTACACACTCCTTAAATGCAGTTTTTTCTGGGAGCAGCTCAGGGCAAAGAGGGTAATTTCAACTCCTATCACCAAAACCTTGCCTCTTCCACCCTTTCAGTCTATTGTCCTCTTCATTTCCTTCCACAGCTATTTTGAATAACATTGACTGGGAAGACTCTTTGTTTGGGTAGTTGAGATTAATAATGAGATTTTTCTTTTTATGGTTGTGCTATATATTACATTTTTTTTCAATTTCCAATTTCAAAGGAACTTGAGAAATACTCAAGTGAATGGAATAAGTCTAATTGTTTTAAATGTCAGCTAAAAAGAAAGGGTTTTAAATGTGTTGGAAAACCATTAAGAAATAGTGCTTGGAGTGAATTTCTAAGATTTGCATAAACATTGCACTTGGAGGTACACATGAGATTTGCCCAGGGAAACTTGTCATACTTTACAGTCCTCCGCCACAAATACTGTTGACTCTTTTTGATTCTCTCCCAGGGATCAGCTGATTGCCATGCCAATCATAATCAGGGTTATAGACTTATCAGTTGATAAAATATTTCCAATTCAAATTCTACAAAAATGTAAGACATTATTTTGTTTAAATTACATCCTTTGTTTATTTATTTACTTTTTTGGATTATCCCTCTTACTCCTGCATGCGTGGTTAGCACAAAAAGTTGAATTTGATCACAACCTCCTTTGAAGAGGGGGTAGGTACACAATTACCATCTGAAGAGCTTCTCAGTAGATGACCCAAGGATCCCAGACCTTGGTAACACTGTCAGTAACCATCACAATGTTCATAGAAAAATTTACCAAATATCCTGTTTAATGTAAACAAGGCAGGAGGCCAACAGCGTCTTACAGTAACACTATTTACAGGGCCCAGAACTATGAGTATCTATTATGTTTTCACATAGCGAATGTCACAATGACATGCATATTTCAATTTATTGTAAACTCAAAACATAATTACCATAATTTGTGGGTTTAGTGCTTCACTGTTACTTCTGTCGATGTCTATGAACTTCATAATTAAATGGTAATTGTACAGTAATGCAATAATTTCTGGAAACAATGCCATGAGTTTATGATGTAATTCCATAATTTGTGCCCCATAAAATTAAGTGTAACAATCTTTACACTAGCAACAGTGTAAGCAAGCTAAGGATTTTGGTCCTTATATCTATATACACACATATATATATACACATGATAATGTACAATTAAACTAAAAAGCTATGAATCCACTCACAGCTTCCATATTGCACAGATACATTATGAGAACATTACACAGTTATGTTGTGAGCTCTACAATGATAATTGGCTAAGACAAATCTGGTTCTATCAAGTAAAGGAAGTGGCTAATTACTAAAAATAAATCCAAAGACTGTACTGTGAGAAAGTTTAAAACCATGTGCATACATATTTACATACAATGAAGCAAGGCTAAAATTCAAAGTCGAACTTGCTATGGCAATTGATTGTTACGGTGGCACTTTTCACCAACACAGTGCACTTCAGTCACTGTTCTTGCAGGTACCAGGTAATGGACATATTCAGCTTCCAAGAGACAGTAGGAAAGACTAGTGATGCAGTACTCTGTCATTAACAAATCCAACTTGCTGCGAGAACTTGTGCTGGCTCTAGGTCTGAACTAAATACACAAAAAAGAAAGAAATTTACAAGAGAAACAAATTAAACCTTAAGCCTTAGCTGATTACAAAACAAAGTCATTGCAATAACTTAGGAAAATGGTATTTTCAGAAGCAGCATATGCACATACAAATAGAAGAGTTAAAGCTTTTCTGAGCTTGGTTTCATGGATTAGCTATAAAGCCCTGTTGTGGAATCAAGGATATAATAGTATTTGGTTTGTGAGGTAACATCACTGCTATTATACCGACTAAGTACTATGAAAACATTAAGAAATATCTAATATCTCTTAATGTCTTACTTTAAATACACATATATCAAAGTAGATTGTTACTACATCTAAAATGGAGATGTAGCAGTGTTCCTTGAATAAAACGATCAATAAATTCAGTAAAATGTTTTCCCATGGTTCAAAATCATGCATGAAGTAACTGCTTCACCAATTTTGTTGTTTTATGGCTTGGCTTCATGAATTTCTTAAGAGTGAATTAGGGAAGATTTTCATTAAATTAGAAATTAAGTCATTTTGTTGTTTTACCAATGGTGAGCATCCTGGAGCTGACACTATTTGTAAGTTTTTAATATTTTCTTCCCAATAAGTAGCAAAAACTAACTATAAAATAAACCAGAAACACTAATACAACAAAAGGAGCAGGTAAGTGTAAAACATGCATTTATGCACAAAGCACATGGTGTGTATATACCAACATGCCCCATGATGGCTTCTTAGAAGGGCAGAGACAGCTCTGCTCAAGCTGGAGTATGTGAGCATCTCTCCCAAGACATCAGTAAATGGAAAGGTAAAGCAGAAAGTGCTGCTGCTTAACATTACAACAAAAATTAGCTTATAAGCAGTATTTGAGTGATAAGAAAGAAGAGAAAGACACTTGCAAACACTGAGTTGTAAGTCACAGACAGCAGGCTGTGCACAGCACAGCCGGGCTAACCAGACATTCCTGCCTATCTTCCTATCACACACACACCCAACTCCCCCAGGCCCTTAATATGTAAACAGAACATTTAAAAGACTGTTTTCTTTAATCTCTTTAGAATCATTTAAGACAAAAGACTGAACAAAATGAAAAAAAAATGTAAACATTAAGAGGCCATTGCAATTATGATTGCTGCCTAAGAATTATCAGTCAGTCGCCCACCTAGACTCTACCATGCACTTCAATAAGAAAATCAATTGTAAAGCAATTTCATAAAGCAGTTTCCAGAGAGGGAGAGGGGAGACAGTTCTCAACCCACAACATGTTAATTAGCTTAAAAAATACTATTCTAGCAAACATTCCCAACAAGGAGCATAAGTTCAATGATGCTGCAAAAATGACAGAGTTTAAATAAACGGGACCCATACATGAAAATCAATTACCAACATGGCTATGTGCACAAAAGATAAAAGAACATTTCTTTAAAAATATATATTAATCAAGAATTTCTTTATCATATTAAATTGTTATTCTTAGAAAAGCTGAGGAAAATTACGCTGCTCTACAGTTTATCTCCTATAATTATTCATTTGATGGTTCCTGAACTATAATTCTTCTCATTTACAGTTTTTAAATATTTTGTTTGTAAAGAATCTTAACTTTAAAAAGTTATAAAATTAGTGACTTTTTTTGCTACTTATTAATCCAAAAGAATAGAAGCATTTGCGTCCCAGAGAATGTCAAAATGCTTTGCTACCTAAAAGGATATTAAAATAACAGAAATATCATCAAAGTCATGACATCAGAAATTTTGCAGCTTTTCACACAGTCCTTAGAAATGCTTATCTTCTGAAGTTCCTTTGATTGTATCTGAGACTCAGCAATGTGCAATTTTATGTAGAGAACCATCATGATAAAGTCAATGGAAACACTGTCCCACTGTTTACCCAGAGCCCACACCATCATTTCTTAATGGTTCTGTCCAGTTTACAGCAATACTTCATTTAAAAAAGCCGTCTTTTTATCCTGTTTTGGCTTGGTGGAACCGAGTTTTTCCTGATGTAAGTACAGTTCCTCTAGAGACTTGAACAATGTCATTCATGGTGTGGAGGAGGCGTGGTATTTCACAAATGCAATTGCTGCCAGCTCCTTACAGAATTCTTCCAACACGATCACACCCTCTAGCAACGTGATGTGGTCAATACTGCAAAAAGCAGACAACAAATTCAGACACCAGCAGATCACTAAATGTGGTGACATTGTTGGACAAAAATATGTAAAACACCGACTTACACAGGGCCCTCAGGTTCCAAACCAAGCAATCGTTTTCTGACTAGTAGAAGCTTGGGAGTGAAGTCTTGAATACGCTGAATTCGAACCATAAGGTCTCCAACAACCTGCGTCAGAAACAAGGAACTCAGTTCCTGAAATCAACTACATAGGTATTCTCAGGTTAAAAATAACTTCCTTCCTTATCATTAAACAAAGAACCCCAACTTGCACTACTGCATTAAACATCTTTGACCAAGAATTCATATATATTCTTTAAAATATAAAAGTTACATACATTAATTATTTAAAAGAGTGAATCCCCATTCATATTCAGAATGTATAATAATTACTTTTAAACATTAGGGATATAATATTTTTCACTGGGTTACATTAACTACATACAATGATATAAAGATATTAAATGGACAGGCTTATCAATCCTAGAGAACAGAACTAAACTTACCCTGACAATGACGGAGAAGAGAGACCTACAGCCAGAGGCAAGGTTCACATAGGGATCCAAAAGGTACTCATGTGTGTGTGGATGAGGGAAGAGGGAAAGTCTGGACAATACCGAGGTCACCTGTAAATTCACATCGTATGGCTGTGCAGAGGTAAGAACAGAAAGGCAGTCGATGTGATTTACAGTACACACACTGAGCTTAATTTATTAGTTCAATTTGTCTTTCCAAGAAAGGAAAACCTGTCATCCTACTCCTTCCTCATCCAACTTCTCCTTCCACGTGCTCTTTTGTAATAAAAATATCTTAACTAAACTAGCTCTCACCATCTTACCAAAGTCCCAAAAAAGAAAGAAAGGCATTTATTGAAACATACAGAAAAGACAAAGACACACATCTTTGTAGCAGGACATGTTTGATTGATTAAATTAATGAAACAGGTGAAGAGGGCATCAAGACCCACCAATGTGTCATATATACTATTAATTACAAACCACCAAGGACACATTAAACCAAAGAGTCAAGAAAGGGAAGAGAAAGTATTTCATCTTTGAAATATAGTAACATGTTAAGATTAGTTCTCCCTACAACTGTACATCTGTCAGTTCCTTAGACATTTTTTTTAGGGAATACCACAATTTTACTTGAACTCCAGGTGTTAATTTCTGTTCATTCTTCATAGAAAGCAGCTTGGAAGTACTTTACAGTTTGTCAACATCAGAGGAAAAGGTGGACTACACAAAAAGAGTTGTTGTTTGCTTAGAACTTTCAATAGGAACTTCTCACCCCTTCCTGTTTTCCTCTTCCAAGCAGCCAAAGGAAATTGACTAGTTGAAACAAAACTGACTACCTGGATGAGGACCTGGGTGAGTGACAAACAGCCCAGGCAAGGGAACGGTGATTCAGGACGAAGTCTGATAATTAGCAGTAAAATCTGCATGTTTTATTCTCATCCACTGAGCAGCTTTTAAACCTTTGTTCATAATGAATACCAATTAGAAGTGAATCTGTGGCTTTCTGAAGAGAATGGCTCGGCATGTGCCAGAGATGTCAGACACTCTGATGAACCTTTTCTTTTTTAATTAAAGGGACAAAAACTCAACTCCTATGGCTTTAAGTTCAATTTTGGTCTTTGTTACTTAACCTGAGATTTATGAACATGGATTGTTTTTTGAGTGAAGAAAAACTTGTCTGAGTTATTCTTTTTCAAAATTTAGCCCTAAGCAAGACAAATGAAAGGAAATTTGTATTCCTAATAAAGAGAGGTTAAGAGTATATTCTCCTATTTGATATTTGCAAAAGAATAGCCTTCATTAAGACTCAATGAATTTGCATTAAATTGTACATCGGGACAAAAGAACAATTTATAAGAAGCGACTTAAAAAAGTGTACTTGGAAAAATATGTGTACAGAATAATTTGAAATATAACTTAGGTCCAGACTCCATTTCAGATAGTTAAGATTTTTGGTCACTAAGTTCTGCCACTTGCAGGTACTTAAATAAGCCAACACAACTTGTCTTTAAACAAGGCTGTATCACTGCTTAGATTTTAAAATTTCTCTATAAGGTGCTACTTTGTTTTGTACCTTTGTTTTAACATACATATAAGTCATGGGTTGTTTAAGAAATTTAAAAGTGACTTTCTTTTTTTGGGGGGGTGGTGCTGGGATCAAATCCAGAGTCTTGTGCATGCTAAGGAAGAGCTCTATTACTAAGCTACACCCTCAGTCCAGGTTATTTTGTAATGTTGTGAAAATGAAAATAAACTCAGTAAAATATAATTTTTAGTTGTACTGTGAAACGGTCTCATTTCATATTGGTACCACTTTAAAGCAAGGTGGTATTTTGGATGCTGTTAGTAACTGTGTATGTCCATTATTTGGGATGTCTTATTTTGTACAATATTCACCTAAAAGGAGAGATAACCAAATTTCTCTGACATGCCAAACGGATTTGCTCATTTTTTAAACAACTAAATGCTAGAAATATAGCACATGCTACTTAAAAGGTAAATGAAAAAGAGGACCTGATGTCTTTATTACTAACTGTCCAAAAACAGTCCTGCCTGAAGGCTAAATTAATGAAATACTTCTTAAATTATAATTTCTTTATTTCACTTTCTTGTGACTGAAGAAAGCCTATATGGAGTAAATTCCTTTTATTACTTCCTACACTTATATAAATATTTAACTAAAATGCTAAGGGAAAAGAGCAAGTATTTTAACATGCAAATTTTAAATTAATTCCAAATTGGTTAGCTCAGTTTCTATGTAGAGGCAATTCTGGTGCCAGTTGTTCTATTTCAGGTGGATTTCCCTCTGTGTACACATTTCAAAGCTCTGTCCACTTCATTTGTCAATGAGAGCAGGAAGGAGGGACTTTATGATCCTAAACTCTTTTCTCCTGACAGATGATGACAGAGCAACATATCAGCTGATGGTGATTTTCATCCACTTCTGAAGTAAATTCATTTTTTATTCTGCCTCTCCCTTCTGAAAATTAGTATTACTAACATCTTCTTTGTCTGAAGAAACCAGCTCACAATTTTAATGAGACCAAAGTGGTGAAGATTCAATTTCAAATGATATTTACAATCTTCTGAATTAAGCCTCACAAATTTTACCCTGCCTGCATCTGTGCTAATGGCTGTGCTGACTTTCTAAGTTCGTCAACAAGGAAAGTACTCTCAGCACCTTTAAAGTGATGGCCTAGAAAGAGAAGTAAGACACATGATAGTTGTCAGGTCAAATAAATATTTTGCACATGCTGATGCATCAAAAACCTACCAGTTTTTGAGAATTGAGTCTTATGAAAAAGTCATCTAGTGAAAAAACTAAGAAAACAATTTGTACTTAACTGAAAATCCAAACTAAGTCTTGAGATTATACCATGGTGAACTATAACAAAATAATAAGAAAATCAGTATTTTACCTGATCAAGAATTCTTCCCATTCTGTCAAATAAAACTTTCAAAAAGTGGCCTTCAAAGAAAGCTGCTTCTAAATGACACTTTTCCAAGGCTTTCGGAGACCCAGGCCACTCCCATTTTAAGCAGATAGCACAGTAGTCCCGGAACTAGGGGTAAAGAAAGCATTTTGATCATTAAAGAACTGCCAAGCAACAAACTGAGATGAAATAGAAATGCCTTTCTCACAGAGGAATATGCAGAATGTCTGCTGTGACCAAGTGCCAGAGAGGAGGGAGCCATAACTCAGCCCTGACAAGGAGGGGCAGGGGACAACGGTAATCACCAGTAACCAGTGCAAGTTGGTGGAAAAAGGTATTTTAACTTCACTAACTTACTTCCTTTAATAACTGTGCTTATCCTGTTTCCTTTAAAGCAATTTAACTCCTTAGTTACTTTCATGACAGATTTAGAGCACATTTACAAAGCAAAGACCGAGCCACGTTTTAAGATGTAGTCTGCACTATTGCACATGATGGATGAATGAATGATGCCCATTCCCCCAGAGAACAAGCTTGCTGTCTCAAGAGTATATTTACACTGGGCATGAGGACATGAGAGGAAAAGGAAGCCCGTGGCTGGTGCTGGCCCTCAAACTGCCTATGACCATCACCAATGAGAGTACTGAAAACCAGAGTGAGCATTTATATCTTTCACCAGCAATTTGACTAAGTAATTGTGTCTGTTGAACCTATCAATAAAATAATTGGAACTTATAGTTGTGTCCTTTTTTCATTCTCTATTAATTCTCTTTTATGGTATTATACAAAAGTGTTAGGACACTTTCGTGTCAGATTGGAAATGATTTGGATTTTTTAATAAGCAAAAAATTAAGAAAAAATATAAGAATATCTCATATAGCAAAACTGAATTTTAAAGGTCTCTTCTAATATGCAACTTACTTAAAACAAAAATAGGTAGCACAATGTGTACACCTGTAAGTAAATGTAATAACGATAAAATAAAAGGAGAAAAAAACCCAACAAAAAATAAATTTGGAATGCCCTCTTTTTTCATATTCTTTCCCTCTTCAGATTTTCCTTATTCAATAAAGCAAAATTATTCTGACCTCTCTAGTTTGAAAATATCCTGGAATTAAAACAGCATATTCTCACCATGAAATAATAACTTGAACTTTTAAAAGGAAATATATTTAAAACAATTAAAAGGCCAACTACTTCAATATATTGCAAATTTTAAACTCCTTGGCTTCCAGTAGACAATTTTCTGTATAAAAGCACATTCTAATTTTGATAAATTATTTTTGCACTAATACTTCTGAAATTTTGACCTGGAAAAAAGTAGTTTTAAATTTGTATCCTTTTTATCTGTTTTCTAATATTTCTGTAATGACCATAATTGCATTTGTAATCACAAACCAGAAAAGAGGGAAACTTTACAAAAACAACAAAAGCAGTTAAAAAATTCAAGTGGTACTGCTGAAAGATTTTATTGCCTTTTTGATTGTTATATGAATGTCCATTACTCTAGAAATTTATGTATTGATGTTTATTTGATTTTAGGTTTAAAGTATTATGGATTAACTACATGAATATGAAGATTAATTACATATGATAGCATAATTCAAACCAAAGAATTTAAATGAAAATTAATAGCTGATTTGAGAAATTTCAAAATTTGAAATTGTCAATTAAAAAATTTTAACCATGCACTTGCTGGTTAAGCTCTACCACTTAAGTCACATCCTCAGCCCTGAAATTTTCATTTTGAAATTCACTTTCAAATTTTGAAATATTCTAGTCCAATTATTTATTCAACAAATACTAAAATGTTTAGAATACTATAAAATGTATAGATTTAAGCTACATATTTTGTGAGACTCAATTATAAGCATGAGTCCCATTCTCAAGAAATTACCTATAATCCTAAAATAAGGAACACACAAAGGGCAATGAAAGTTGTGGTGCTAATTCCACACAGAAGCAGAACAGCAATTTCCTTTGCTGGCGGAGAAGAGGTCCAAACTTCACTGGTAGGGAAGGGAAATGAGGTAAGAGGATAAAGAGACTAAACCAAGAGGTGGCATTTAATTTAGACCCTGAAGACTGCAGAACTACAGATCAGATGATGGATGAGAAAAGAAGAGGGAAATTTTCGAGGCAGGCAAAATAGCATCAATAAAAGCATGTAAGTGTTGTTCGGATAGAATCTGAAAATCTTAAGAAATAAGATGGAGAAGCAGGCTGGAGTGTTGCTCCAAAAGGATCCAGAATGCTGAGCTTGGACATCTAAGCATCCAGACTTTATGAGTTAAAAAAGCAGAGGACAGGTGATTGTGTTAAAATCTGCCCTTTAAAGAAAGTAATCTGTTCACAGATTCTAAGCAGCAGGAAAAAACTGATGAGGCTATCACAATCCTAGATAAGAAGTAATAAAAGACTTGACTAGACTTCAAAGGTAAAAACACAGAAGGAGATAGATAAGAGATATGGTAGAGGCAAAACCAGCACAATTTGGCAACAGTCTGGAAGCTAAGGAAAATGGAAGATGAATGAATCCAAGACAACTCTGAGAGCCAACTTTGAATGAATGACCAGGCAGCTGAATGTGCCACTACCTACAGCAGTACAGAAAGGAGCAGATCCAGTTTTGACAGAACCAATGATAAGTCTACATGAACAGATATAGACTGACATCCTAGGAGAACACCTAAGTAGCTGGGGCTAGAGATTTGGAGACACTTCAGATATAGAAGGTCAGATGTAGAATTCACAATAGAGATAAATACTAAGTCAGAAGAGTGGTAAATGAATGGAGATAAAAGAGGGGCAACGAGAACACCTGAGACATGAAAGCAGCTGCAACAAAAAGGAATGCTGCTGCAGAAGACTTGAGAAGTTTTAAATAAGATGGGACAGAGCGAATTCAGCAAAAGTTGCATAGTATAAGACTGATACACAAAACTCAACTGTATTTCTACACACTAGCAATGAACAATCAGAAAATGAAATCCACAGAATTCCATGATACTATTGAAACAAAATACATAGAAATACCTTAACAAAGGAAGTACAAGACTTGCACACAAAACTATGAAATATTGTTGAATAACATTAAAGACAGCCCAAGTAAATGGAAAGATATTCTGTGTTCTTGAATAGAAAGATTTTCTGTTGTTAACACAACCACACTTGCCAAATTCTTCTATAGATTCGGTGCAATGAAAATTCTAACTCCAGAAACAGACACAGTAATCCTAAACTTCATATAGAATTACAAAGGACAACAGACAGTGAAAATGATCTTGAAGAAGAAAAATAAGGTTTGAAGATTCCTACTTCTCAAATTGAAAACTGAACTACAAAGCTCAGTAATCATGACACTGTGGAACTGGGATGGGACATACACACAGATTGGTGGAGGAGACCTGAGCCCTGAATTACCATTTATTCTATTATTTATTATCGCCAACAAGTGGGAAAAAATTAAAGGACCCCCACCTCACACTATATACAAGAATTATGACAAAATGGATCAAAGACCTAAAATTACAAAATTCTTAAAACGTAGGCAAAAATCTGTAAGAGCTTGGATTAGGGGCTGATTTCTTAGGTTAGTTCACAAAAAGCACAAAGAAACATAGTTCAGTTGTATTTCTTCAAAATTAAAATTATTTTGTGCACCAAAAACACTATCAAGAATGTGACGGATGTAAGGTTCTCTGTCTGCGACATTTGTCACTCCACTGATCGCTGAGGTTGATTCGGCTGATCTGGCTGGGTAGGCAGGTGTCCCCTTCCTTCCTCACCACTGCATATGCGTCCCTCCTGAGCCTGCATGATCGGTAGCTGCATGCCCAGTCAAAGAGGAAGACCATCCCCAAAACAGGAAGACTGTTCTTGGGTCAAGGGTTTACAAGTAGCTGCACTCCCCTGCTAGAACCTCCAAACAAGCCCTCAAAAAAGTAAAAAGACAACCCCTAAAGTAGGAGAAAATATTTTCAAATCACATATTGGGTAAGAGTCTAGTACTGAGAATATATAAGGAACTCTTACAACTGGGCAATAAAAAGACAAGCCCACTGGAAAATGCACAAAGGACTTGACAAATATTATCCAAAGGTACGTAAGTGTCCAATAAGCACATGATGAAGTCTTCAACAGCATTAGTTATTAGGGAAATATAAATGAAAACCACAACAACCATAAAACCTCTTCCACCTCTATAGAATAGTTATAGTAATAAAAAAGTGCTTAATATTGTTAGTGAGGACATGGAGAAGTTGGAGCCCTCACACACTGCTGGTAGAATGTAAAATGGTACACCACTGTGGGAACCAGTTTGGCAGTTCCACAAAAATGTTGAATACAGAATTACCAAGCAACCCAGTAAAAACTAGAAATCTGTGTTTACATACAAAGTTTTAAAGAAATGTTCACAGAATTATTCATACTGGCTCAAAAGAAAAAGCAATCCAAATTTTATCAACTTGCAAGGAAGAGATCAATGTAAATCACTTCATGTAATATTCTTCAGCCATAAAAACGTGAAGTACCAACCCATGCTACAACACGAATGAATCTTAAAAACATTATGCTCAATGAAAGAAGTCAGACACAGAGGCCATGTAGAGTACGATTCTGATACACGAGATGCCTAGAGTAGACAAAGCCACAAAATTAGAAGCAAAGAGCTGCCAGGCAGCAGGGGGTGGGGAGGAGGAGGAGATGGGACTGGGGAGTGACTACCTAATTCACACAGGGTTTCTTTTTGGAGTGATGGAAATGTTTTGGAATGAGATGGTGGTGATGGTTGCACATTAGGAATATACTAAAAACCACTAAACTGTATACTGCAAAAGTTAAAATGTCGGATTTTATTGCAGTACAGATTTTGTTAAAGGAGGAGGGAGTATTTAATATTTTTTTAAACATTTTCCAATGTCTATAAAATGCTATAAAGCAAATCGAGATGAGTAGATCTGTGAGAAAGTAGTCCCAATGAAGCAGAAAGGTGAGAGCCAGGCAGCAGAGATACTAGTGAATTACTGTCTGCATAAGAATGGAGGTGGGGGAGGGGATGGGAGAAGCAGGAGAGGACAGTAGCCAGTGGATGGGAGCCAGAGAGGGTGGTGGTACTATATTTTGGATCCATAGGGGAAATGGATCCAAGTGAGATAGTACTTAAAGTGGAAAACAAAAGAGAACACAAAGAAATCTTCAGCTAGAGACCCAGTTAGTGAAAAGCAAACCCAGGTCACCTGCACAATGTGTACCTAGTGACCGCAGAGTTCAGGTCTCATTTCTAATGAGACTATTTCCTTGTGGTAATGGCTATGGCCAAGTGGGTAATGTGACAAAGTATATGTGTATATTCTTGGATTTCATTTCCAAAAATGAGTTACGTCACTTACCTGCCTGTGAGCATCTCGGAGGTAGGTGTCATATCCAGTGCCCTCAACATGGTAGGATGATTTTGCTTCATCTGGTACCAGACAAAGAAAACTTAAAGCAAAAAGGCCATAATCAATCACAGAAATATTCTCATACTTCAAAAATACCTTTATGTCTATTAAGGTATCATTTAATCAAGTGATACCTTAAGTTTAGCCAAGTTTTAACACAAATGGAAACTTGAAAAATGAAATTATATGTCAAGTCTTTATCTTGAATCAACTTTACAATTTACTGATTAAATATATTCTGGTATTATTTCAAAGGTTTTGTTACAAAATTACAGATTCCACTTAAAATAGAAGTAAACCTAAGACTTGTTTTTAGTTGCTGCATGATGACAGGTTGCCATGATACTTGTTAATCTCAGAAAACTGCCTTTTAAGAAATTTAACCTGAGAGAGATTTCTATGCACCATAATTTTGCATTCTGAGTCAGATGCATTTTAAGGTGATCTGCCAGACCAGGCATATCAGTGACAGCACTAAAAGGGAAGAAAAAAGAGAAAATTGCCACAGAAAGACTTTAAAAAAATGTAAAAACATGAACTGAAAAAAGGATTAGCCCTATGTTTAACATACATGCTTAGTAAGTACAATTTGTTAACTGGCAATTCTCAATGTTGTAATTGGGAATTACTTAAAATTAAGTCATATATACCTATATACACCTTGGTATACTTTGCAGGTTTACCTAACAACTATTTTTTTTAATTTGAAAAAGATTATTTTTTTGTTTTTTGCAATGCTGGGCATTAAACCCAGAGAGTTATTCATACTAGGCAAGTATTCTACCACTGAGCTACACCCCAGAAATAGAAAATTCTTCTTCTATGAAGTAAAGCTTCTCTGCAGGAATCTTGACAGTCACTATACTTGTTATACAATCAAGACAAAAAAGCTGACATAATCAATCTTTAAAGAACACTGAGCTCATAATATATTTCTGCAACAACTGAGGAGAAGAGCTGGGATATATCAAAACAAGTAAGAGGAATGTATAGAGTAACTCACCTATTTACAATTTTATGGACTTCGGTTTTCCCATCATTTTTGGGGTGGTCTGGACTAGTAGGAGGTGAAGAACTAAGCCACTCTTGGTTTGACAAAGTGTTATCTGGTGAAATGTCAGTAAATAATGGATCTTCTTCCAGATCTCTAAGTTTAATTTAATGATGTACAAAAAACATTTATTATGACATTTTCTAAACCAAAAGACTCTCTCCTGTGTTCTGAGGAAATATTACAGAATTTTTCTAATATAAAGAATTAATGAATATATTTATTTTATAGACAAAATTTTTGTGCTAACAGTCTTGAGAATATACTACTAACTTTGTTACTAGATTTAACAGAATATATAATATCTCTTGCAATTTAATAGAATTGTAGAATCAGGCATCTGAATTTTAAGAACTTTCAAACCTTAAGAGGTTATTTATTTTTTTTAAAGCATAAGGAAGAGAACAAGGAGGAGACAAAAAGTTCTGGCTCTATGAAACAGTGAACTCAGAGTTGGACAAAACTTACACTGCTCCTGCTATTAATCCATTCTCTACTACGTCTTTATCTTCTGGGCACAAAGGTTTATATTCTGTATAATTTCTTTCTTCAAGATTTCTTAGGACCAAGTTGTAAAGAATGTGCTCGTTGGGTTTCTGTAGAAGATGTTCAAACATTCTCAGAGTCATTATGCTTATCTGAAAATAGAAATGATCAAAATCAGTTTATTAAAATCAGTGTTTCAAAGAATCTAAATTCAATACTGAATCATGAGACTGCTTACCTCATCAGATATGTGGTCACAGTGTTCAATTAACCTATGTCTTAAAGGATGTCTGCTAAGTTCGGCCAGAGTTTCTGGTTCCCTCTGTTCTCCAAGGATAAAAACCACCATTTCTTGAAGCAAAACATCGGAGGTTACTTGCCGAACAATGCGATGAAGCAGAGCAGTTGACGTCAGGATGCCCATCTCAGAACTGAGCCAGCAAACAGGTGATTAGTGGGCAGAAATAACCGAAACTGAAGTTTTTGTTGTTGCTTTTTAAGGAAAGCGGCTACTCACGTTTGCATTAACTGAGGTTCCATAACGCCAATGAAAAATCTCTCATGGACAGCTTTGGCAAGAGCAACTGCAGCAGTCTACAAGACAGTATGAGCACCATGATTTTGTTAATGGAAAAGACAGATTTATTTGTAACATCAGTAAGTCAGTTTGCACCTCCATGTGAATTAAAGAGGAAAGACAAAACTTTCCTATTGACCACAAACCTAGATCAAACGTTAGGATTGGATCATTTACGTATTTGTTTACATTTGCAATAAGAGGAATAGGACAAAAATTATTCAAATAATCTTATAGTTTTAATATTTCCCCAAAGAGAAGTGGTGGGAAGTTACTGTTGTGTGCAGTCACTGTTGTGAAGTCAATGTTTGTGAAGCATTGTACATAATACTTACAGATATAAAGGACAGAATTTGAATCCTGATTTGTTCCAGAACTGCAATATACCACACACGATTTATTTATTTATTTTACTAAACATACTCTCCTAAGACAATTAAGATATATTTGGTGATTACAAACTAGGGATCTGAATTTCACTTAGTAGACATTTACATTTTAAAATGATCAATAAACAACAAAACTCAAACCTTTTGCGCTTCTTTAATGAGTTGATCACAGTAATCAAACCAGGAAAGAAACGAAATTAAGGCTCGTTTTCCTGGGAATGCTGAAGCATCTTCTTTATGACTATATGAGTCCAACCTGCAAATACAGAAGAAATGCTAAGTTCAAAGTTATCCAAAACCATGTGCCCTATTCAGTACTTATGGGAAAACGAAGGCATATGAATGAACTCACTCTGCACACATGGTATGACACATTCACAGAGGCAACTTGGATCACAGCTAGAAGAGGATTTATTTATTTTTTAAAAAGCCAAAGATAAGAGAAACTTTTAAATAAAAGTTACAAGTCGTTTTCTCTCCTTAAGTGGAAAGACAGAGACTAACACAGAACGGAGTAGCAGGAAAAAACACTTAAATGGCTCTTCAGATTTCTGGCATAAACTTGACCAAGTAATTGCAAGAAAACAGTTTTGTTTTTTTTTTTTTTTTTTTTTTGCAGCATCTCAGCTGCTGGGATGCAAGAAAAGTAAGCAAAAAGACTGGTTAGCTGCTCTTCTTGCCTTAAAATGCAATACAGTCATGTTAACAAGGAGGTCTTCTGATAGATGTTAGAATATTTAGTGTGGAAAAAACAAAGAAAGGTTAACAAAATAATAATGTAAACCCTCAAAAATTGATCAGCACCAAGCCAGGCATGGTGGAGGTAGGAGATTGCAAGTTCAAGGCCAGCCAGGGCTAAATAGCAAGACCCTGTCTCAAAAAAAAAAAAAGCCTAGGGATGTAGTTCAGTGGTAGAGCACTTGCCTAGCACATGCAAGGCTCTGGGTTAAATCCCCAGCACCACACTAAGAAAAAAACAAATAATAAATCAGTATAATGGACAAGTTAAAAACAGCTCAACTATGTAACAGCTGGACCAATATGTTATCACTAATAAATAAATATTCCATTTATAGATCATTAGTATGCTACATTTTTCAAAATTAAAGATTTAAGGCTTTACCATTGCAAAACAGACACAGATTTTGAAATGCAGGTGTAAGAAGTCACCTTTATTGGGAAAATGCAAAGCATGGTGCTCACCCCCAGTTAATTGCTTCCACTGTTTCAATATCTAACGGATCCACTGACGGAGGTAGGGCCTTGTACAGGGAGGCAAGTCTGTCTGTCAGCAGTTCACACAAGCAAGTGCTCTGAGTAAGGCACTTCGCAGCTGCAGGCTCTGGTAAACTTACTAACAGCATCAAGCCCTCACATGCTTTCACAGCTATTCGGCCATCCTGTAGGGGAGGGGAGGAAACACACACTTTCAATTCCTGAATTGGATACACATCAAGTTGTTCAGGAAAATTCAGCATAAAAGGATTTAGTATTTTACATCATAAGAACAGATTTTTTTTCTACTTTAAATGCAGATTACTGTGATCATATTAAAGTAAGATGATGACTCACTGGACTTCTGGTAAGATTCAACAAAGAATTCACTAAATTGTAATCCTGATTTGGGCGAATGACAGAAGCCTCTGGCAGTGAAGTGACAGTAAGGTCATCCAAGCTTGTGGACAGGTCATCCATGTGATGCGAGGGCTCGTCCTCTGTGTGCTCCACTGCAGAAGCACCACCCAGTGCCTCTGGCTGGCCGGATGCTCCTACATCAGTTGATGAGGGATCCTGACCTTTCAATGTATCTTCTGAAATTATACTTGGTGTTCCTTTGGAGGCCAATGATTTCAACTTGTTCTGAAAAGGAATCCATGTTTGTAAGCTTCACATTAAGAACTTTATTAGCCAGAAATCATATATCAATGGATTTTTTTAAAATTAACATTCCACATGCCTAACTAAGGTATCAGTAAGTAAATGAAAATATTCAAATTTTAATAAACCATATTTTAGATGTAATGTTATCATCACATAGAAGTTAATGATACTCTTCATATTAACTACAAAGTGTCTTACACTGACCATAAGTAATGAACAATATTAGGGACAGCCATTCGACTGCTACTAGAAACAACTAATATTAACAGGAAAAAAATTCAGTTGCAGTTCATTGTTTTCTCATTAAAGGCTACTGTAAATACATGGTCTCAATGTTAATTCTTCTAAGATGGGAGGGAGGCAAAATGCAAACTTACAAACAAAAATATGTTAAAGTCCCAAAGTTAACAGAATTAATAGCATTAGACTTCATTAAGGTTTCCACAAAAGCTCCCAAACTTTCTTGTGATATACAAGAATTTTTCCCTAAGTTGTTCCCTTATACTTCTGCTTTATAAAAACAGAAGAAACTATTCTGAGGACATTTTTATTTGTGTCTGAGGACAGATTTGCTTGAAATGCTGATATACTGTCCTCCCTTAGAATTAAACACAAAGAGAATCTTAACTCTTAACTGAAGCAAATTATTAGTTTTGTGGTAAAACTCTTTTGTCCATTTGAACATAAGAGCAAAAACCCAACTAGACACACACGTTAAAATCATCATAAAACAGCTTCTCCACAAAGCCTATCACAGTCATCCATTCTGTGACAGCTTTTGTTCATCATAGCAGTCCATTAAAGGTTGAATGAACTCAAGGTTCTACTTCCAAGGTTAAAATATAGCAATTAAAACTACTTCTATTGCTTCTTGAGAAACTGAGTTTACAGCACATATGTTAAAAGAAAACAACTGGACGAATACTCCAATTTGCCAATTTCCTACAAAATAAATTGCATATTGTAGTCTTCATGAAAGTAAAAGTTTACTCCATCTAAAATTCCAATAATATTGTTGGAAGAGGTGCCTCCAATAAGAACAGTGAGAGGAAGCAGCACTCCTCACGCTGGTGTTTTTCAAGGTGTGACTTGAGACTGTTGGCATCCTGGTTTTCTGTGGGGGTTGATTAGAAAACAGATTCCTGGGCCCTGCCCAGCCCTGCTGAATGTGAACAGCCGGAGGTGGAGCCAAGGAATCTGCACTTAGAGAAGCTCCCAGGCCACTAGGAACTGACTGCCCTAACTCTTGCTTCCATCAAACTGTTTTCTTTCTGTTTGAAGGAGCTCATGAGTCCCCATGACACATGTGTGCACGTAACTCCTGTATCTCTTCTACCTGCCTTCCCTCCCAAATCACAGACCTGCAATACCAAATACCAGCTCATTACTTCCATCTGGGTATCACGACGACTCAAAACATTCACAATCAAGATTACCACCGTCTCACAACAAACTCTCTATCCACTAGCAGCAGCCTTATTCATTCAGGATTTCAAGCTTTGCAATCCTTTCTGTACTTCCTGCACCTGAGCAGTTACATGGCACACAAACCCACTCCTAGTCCCCTGCAGTGCTAGAGCCCACTGTACCTCAACCCACCGCTGCCAACCTAGTTACTGTCCTTTGTTACTTCTTCTCTGTGTTCCTCCATCTGCTTTCAAGTTGGTTTTCCCACTTTTTTATCTCTTCCCAAAGGAAGCCACTATATAAAATGATGTCCCAATTTCATTTCTTAAGGTACAGACACTTCTATGTAATAACATCCTTGTTCAAAAATCATCAGTGGCTCTCTAGTCCACAAGGGAGCAAAAATGCCCAATCTGCTATTCAAAGCCTTTGACAGCTCCTAGTCTGTCCAAACTCTTCTTATACTATTTCCTGAACAACTTCATTCCTTATGTTCACCCATTTGTATCTAAGCATCTGCCAAGGCTCATTTCAAAGATGACTTCTTCTGTCAAGTCTTTCCTGATGACCTAGGGCAAATGTAATCTCTTCAGCCTATGAACACTTAAGGCATTTATTTTGTATCTTTTTTATGATTCTTACCTTACTCTACCTTAGATAACAGTATCCAAACATTCATCTTTTTACCTGCTCCATCAGACTATAAACTCCTTTGGGTAAAGACTGTTTCTAACTCATGTACCATATGCACTTATCCCACAGTAGAAGCCTACACTGGCTGATATAAATGAGCAGAGATTAGATTTCAGGGGGGTACATGCTTGAGCACAGAAAAATATTTTTGTTACTATCAATACTTAAAGTAATAAGTCTGCATTCCCCCCAAGATTTATTCATCCAATAAGGGTTAATTAGCAGCTGTTATGCATTGTGCGACATACAAGAGAAGTTATGGAGATCCAAAGATTAATGAGACAGAGTTCTTGTCCTCAAGGAGCTTCCTGACCAGCACCAGAAGAGAAAATGCATATAAATAATTCTAAGCTGGGAGACTATAATAACAGACATTAAAAACATCTGAATTCTGCATGCAGAAAAATGGAGATATCCACCAACTCAGGCTTTGGAGAAATACGTGCTATAAAAATGCTGCATAAAGCTAACACATAGCTATCCTGACGTGTGGTGTTTGTAGTGAGGTTTAACTGTAAATGTTTCTTTAAGACAGGTATATAACATGCATCTCCATCAACACACACAGGCCTGCAAATTTCCTCTGCTTCTGATCTGTGGCTGTGTACTTTCAAAACAAGTTTTAGAGATTTTGAGATAGAACTCTATTGAGATTAATTTTGGGTAAAAATCCATGCATCTAAAGTACACTAAAGGGCCTAAGAAAACTTTAGCAAAAATGAAATTTGAGAAGAAAAATCTCATGCTTAAACCAAACTAATCTACTTCTTATAAGTATATAGAACACCAAAAGAACTTTATGCTACCCTCATTAACAAATCTTTAGACATCTGAACTATTTGAATCATTGTGAAGCAGATTTGAAAATCAAGACACAAAATATAATGTACATCATAAAAAATATGCATTCATAGTCCTTAATTAAATCCATGAAATTTTGTGGCTGAGCTGCTTACTTTTCTGCAGTTATGGTGTGTGACAGGATCTTAAATTATTTACTTAATGAGGTAAAACAGAAGAAACACTCATCTGTTAGAATGGCTAACATTTCTGACAATACCCATTGATGGGAAAGGACACGGACTAAGGATGAGATGCAAGACGAAGAAGCCGCCTTGAAAAAGAGTTTGGCAGTTTCTTGGGGAGATGAACATACATTTACCAAATGATCTAGTAATCCTACTGCTAAGAATTTCTCCAAGTGAAATGAAAACCTAAATTCATGCAAAAATCTGTGTGGGAATGTTGACAGTGAATTTAAAGTTGACAAAAGGTAGAAATAACCCTCAAAGTCTCTTAACTGTGGTACATTCATACAATGGAATACTGTTCACCTAAGGAAATAAAGCCATGGATGTATCTCAAATGTATTAAGTTTTAAAAACCATGACATGGCAAGTATGAGGCCCTGTGCTCCATACCCAGAGGCCCCCACTACCACCAAAAAGAAAAAAAAAAAAACCCGAAACAAAACAAAAAAGAAAGCCAGAGTCAAAAGGATTATAACACTTATATGACTTTGGAAAAGAAAACAGGTAAGTTACTTCTAGAGGATGGGGGAGGAAGGGTTAATTACAAAGGGGCCTGAGGCAGGAGGACAAAACTGTTGTATTTCTTGACTGTGGTGGCATTTTTACTGTATGTGTTTGTCAAACTCAAAGTCATGGAACCTGCTGTGGTTTGGGATATAAAGTGCTCCCCCAAAAGACTCATGTGTTAAAGGCTTTGGTCCCATACAAGTTAGAGGTGACTGATCATGAGGACTGAAACTTCTTCATTATTGGACTAACCCACTGATGAGATCACAGCTGAGTAGACTTGTGGGGCCTAGGTGGAGGAAGCAGGTCACTGGGGGCATGTCTTATCCACAGCCCCTTCTTCTTCCCCTCTCCCTGCTTCCTGGCTCTGATGAGGTGAGCAGCTCTACTCTACCACCATGATGCCCTGCCTCACTACAGGCACTATGGAGCCAGCTGACCATGAACTGGAACCACTGAAATCATGAGCCAAAATAAATCTTTCTTCCTTTAAGTTGACTTTCTCAGGTATTTTATCACAGCAACAAAAAACTAACACAGAACTGTAGATGGAAAAGAATGTTGTACTGTATGTAATTTATACCTTAATCTTAAAAAAGAAAAACAGTTTTTTAAACAAAAAAGACAAAAACAATATAACTACTTTTTCTAATCTACTCCTAAATTATTTCACTTCTAGAAAACAAAAAGTGAATGAAAATGGAAACTATGCAAAATTTATTTTTTACTTTAAAATCGGAAGTGAAAACCAAAATATCAACTGACTTAAGTCAGTTGATAACTTGCTGATTATGGCTATACAAACAGTACAAAACACCTGAGCAATCCCAACCATCGCACTGGGCACAACTTGTGCAAAGCTGCACCTGTCATCCTCTCCATGCTGGACTACTTCATTGCAAAGTAGAGCAAGCCTGGGTTGATACCATGCCAGCTATCGACCTCTGTGACCTCCTATCAAGCCCATATTTCTAAGCCTCAGCTTGGTATCTGTCCAGTCCTGATACTGCTCAATGGAGCTAGCTCAACTGCATTATTTGAAAGTGTCTTTTCCCAGGATATTTCAAGTTAGAATAAACAGTGATAAAATGAAAAATAATTCTGGGAAGTGAAACAAGCAACTTGGTAACTTAGAAAATGTTATTCCTCCTAGGATTATGTACAGGATTCAATTTTTATGATGACATGAATGTAAGCATACTTTTAAGTCTGAGAAGTGTAACATACCTCCAGAAAAAAATTAACCAGGTAGGGATCCTGTTTCAGCTTTGCACACACAATACAGAGAAACTGAATCTCTTCATTTTCTGTTGGTGTTGCAAGGACTTCACCACAGAGTCGAATTAGTTTCTGTCAAAAAGCATTTTAAAAACTTTTTAAAAGTATATAAACAGCAATCCATTTGTCTTACAGATATTAAAATTTTTCAAATAATGAAAATACCTGGCATTAATTAGATAGAACACTAACAATGTTTACAATAACCTGTATTAAAATAAATTTACTAATAGTAAATTTTTAAAGCTCATTACCCTAAAAAGTTAATGAGGTATACAATAAACTCTCCTAGCAATGTAGTGGAGGTAAAGTAAGAAGAAAATTAATGTATAAGCCTTTAAAGAGAATATAAAGATACGAAGTACATTTGATATAATCGTGTATAAGGGAAAGTCAAATATATGCTAATTTTAATGTTATTTTTAGAATAGTTTTCTTTATTAACTTTACTCTTGGAAAAATAATCTAAAATAATATAATATAAAATACATTGTGAAGTATAAAAAAGAAATTTTTTGAAAAAGAAAAACTGAAATTAATTGACCACAAAAGCACAACAAGCTAATTGTGACAAAAAATAACTTCTATACTAAAAGAAATCAAACCAAAGAAATTTACTTAAGGGGAATAGAATACCTGCACTGGCCTGTGCACATTTATGTGTGGAAGCAGGGGCTGCCGGATTCTTCCCAGGAGTTTAGTGTAGAATACCAGGACCTGCTGTTTCATTCCTGGAGGGCACTGAGCACAGGAAAAAAGGAAAGCAAACAGGAAAAGAACAGGTAACACAAACATGCTTACTTGAACACTTAAAACATAGGTGAATGTCTGTTAATATATTCTACCCTCAAAGACAATGCAATTGGCCAGTTAATAACTTTGTCAGAATAAAAAATTTTCCACTAATATTAATGACTGGCATTCTAAAAATACTGTCTGAGACCATTATCCTCGTGTGATTATGAACAGCATGGTGTTAATATGTTGCTGAGTTCAGGAGTCTGGTTCACGCAATGTCAACCACATGAATGCTGGGGTAACACGAAATTATTACAGGTAGCTCTTTGCCAGAGCCAAGGCTGAATCTCGTTATTTACACTAATGACAGGTAATTAATAACGTTCCGTTGTCTATCTAGGGGCAAATAAAGCCTTCTAATATACATATGTAAGTAAAATGAATCCTGTGGTTTAAACTATTGTGATTTGTTCTAACAACAGTGTTTTAAAATTAGTTTCAAAAGTATTTACATTATGATTATTACAGGCAAAGACTATTTAATACAAGTTTTTATGACAGGTCAGTTAGTTGCTGAAAAGGAGGTAATCTGATGATTACTTGTGCAGTGGACTAAGAGAGAATGAACCAGCAAAGCTGTATGTTGGATAAGTAAGCAGGTGATACTGCCTCACAGCTGAAAATAAGTAAGCAGGTGATACTGCCTCACAGCTGAAATACGGTCATGAAATGAGTATTTCTAAATTGCCATCACAGATGTGCTGTCTGGAAATAGTATAAAACATAATCTGAAGCACAATAATATTTTAAAGCTGTAAAAAATTACATTGTTCAGGTAAAGCACTAATAATATTTATAATAACTTAAGTCAAAATAAATTTACTAGCAGTACAATTGCTAACTTTTTGCTAAAAGATCAATAATGCTTATTCAACCCAGTGTTGTATAATCCCTTTCTCCAAAGGACAGGAAAAAAGGAGGACAAGAATAAATTATAGGTTAGTAGGGAGGAGATTTGCTGCTTAGAAAATATAAATTGTGTGTATTTAACTTAAAAATGAATTAGAATATTATAGACTTAGCTAAAAGGAAATTGTCTTTAATATTACTCATAAGTCTGGTGTTAAAATGTGTCCACTGGGTTTTTTGTTTTAGTTTAATTTTTCACATTTATTATAGAAATTCAGGGAACAGAACCACAGACTTTTAGAGTTGGGGGGAAGTCCTTTAGCAATCACTTCCATGTTTTTATTTTTTTTTATTTTTTATTTTTTTTTCATTTTTCTTTTATTCACTTCCATGTTTTTAAAGACTAACCAAAGAGACTTGCTAAAGGTCCCAGCATGATAGTGACAACACTGTGTGACTAGAAGCCAGGCCTCCTAGCCTAGACCCAAGACTCTTCTTCCTCTTCCTCATGCTTCCACAGGGTTTGAAACTTGACTCTGTACAGTCATGCATGACAATGTTTTTGTCAACAACAGACCACATATGTTGAGGATGGGCCCATAAGATTATTTAAGGGAGCTAAATTTTTTTTTTCAGCTGCTTTTCTCACCTACTTTTATTATATCTTTTCCATATTTACATGTGCTTAAATGCAAATACCTTTATGTTATAAAGCCTCCTATTCAGTACAGCAACATGCTGTACAGGCTGGCAGCCTAGCACGAGGCTATACCACATAGCCTTGGTGTGCAGTACACTGTATCATCTAGGTTTGCACAAATACACATAATAACAAAATCACCTGATCCATTTTTCAGAACATGTCCCTGTTATGTATATAATTTGAAAGTTGTGTGGTACAAATTATGACTTAAGATAATACTAGTTTTTTTTTTTTGTGGTACTGGGGATTGAACTCAGGGCCTCATGCATGCAAGGCAAACACTAAACCACTAAGCTATATCCCCAGCCCAATACTAGTTTTATAAACATTTTTTTCAAAATTTATTAGGCCTAAAAATTGAACTGGTTCTACTCATCATTTCACTTAAGGTTAGAACATCAGCGATTATCTCTTTCAAGACTATGAAGAATCATTTCTGTCACCCAGTTGTTACTAGGTTCTTCCTCATTTTCTGTCATTCTGGGCACAGGTACTTGGGTTTATTTTCATAAGCGTTTACACAGGAGCGCTAAGCAGCATAGACCACTTGGGAAATTTGCATCTGTGTGAATGTTATGATTGTACAGGCCACACCCCTTCCTTTTTTTTTTTTTTTTGGTGGCACTGGGGGTTGGACTTAGGGCTTTTGCAAGGCAGACACTCAACTGCTAAAGGTACATCTCCAGCCCTTTTTGCTCTGGTTATTTTTGAGACAGGGTCTTGCTTTTGGCCCAGGCTGGTCTGGACCACAATCCTCATACTTACTGTGTCTTGTATGGTTGGGATGACATGTGTGTGCCATCACGCTCAGTTTTTTTCCCACTGAAATAAGATCTTGCTAACTGTTTTGCCTAGACTGGCCTGGAACTATGGTTTTCTCGACCTCAGCTTCCCAAGTATCTAGGATTACAGGCCTCAGCCACAGCACATGCAGGCCACACAATTCTTTCTCCATATTCTTAATTTGAATCCTGCCATGTGCAGTGTGTACTGCTATAATTAAACTCAGTACTTGGCAGCTTATCTCTAAGACATGAGTGTGTATATTACAGGCCCAAGAACATGGTGTGGATTAGGAACTTACATCAGCTTTTCCTAAAGTATATAGTGTTTCCAAGATCTTGTGATGGAGCAGATATTCCATACATGGACCTGTCTCTCCAGATTCTCTTTCATTTTCTTCTTGAACCAGTATATCTAACATCTGTTCTAGATGCGATGGTATGTTTGTATCGGTCACTGGGGCTTTATCATCTAAATAATAAAAAATACACATCAATCAAACACACATTCTTAAGCTGCATATTTCACTTAAAATACTCTTTGTATTTCCCTCTACTTATTCAAACTGAGAAACATCTGAATCACACATGAGCTGTGTACACGTGGTAGGACTATCTTCGATAGAATTAAGATCTGCTTTTGTCATACTCTTATTCAAACAGTGAATCAATTTCTGAAATATATTCTATCAGCTAATATACATCCATAATAATTTAGAAATGACAGCCATTTATGTGGGAAAACAAAGCATGATTAGGAAAATACACACAACATCAAGTCTTCTATGTACTTGTAATTAAATTTTCTTCACTTAGCCAGTTCAAAAGATTTGAATTTTAGGTCTCTTTGTTCAAGGTTGGCTTTGAACATTAAGCTGCATAACCCAGGATACATGAAAGGGACAGGTTCTCTTTTTATTACTACCACATTACTTTGTAGCACTGGAAAGTTGGTCACTTAATGCTGGTTTTCAATTCACTTTCTTTAATAAAAATAGGAGAGCTGGGCACTGATGGCTCACACCTGTAATTCTAGCTACTCAGGAGGCAGGGATCAGGAGGATCATGGTTTGAAGCCAGCCCAGGCAAACAACCAAAAACCATCACAAAAAAGAAATGGTGGAGTATCTCAAGGTATAGGCCTTGAATTCAAACCCCAATACAGAAAAAAAAAAAAAAGGAGGAGCCAAAAGGAGCTATTAAAATTTCTGACATTTCAACAATAGCTATTATCCAAGTCTTTTTCAAAGTTTCTTCTTAGAATTCTTAGTAAATATTACAGATTTTTTTAATATATTAGATTTGAAAACTTCATTTTTTTGGTGGTACTAGGCTTTGAACTCAGGACCTCATACTTGCTATGTAGGTGCTCTTACATGCTTGAGCCACTCCACCAGCCCTTTTTTGTGATGGGTTCTTTAGAGATAGGATCTCATGAACTATTTGCCCAGGGCTGACTTTGAACTTCAATCCTTGTGATCTCTGCCTCCTGAGTAGCTAGGATTATAGGTATGAGCCACTGGAACCTGGCTGAAAACTACATGGTTTCATCAACTTTGTTATTCCTCCATTATTTCACTATAATGCACGCACTTATTTCTGCTACTAGATAGAAACAAATTCTTTAAAGCAAGAACTTGTACATTTTTTAAAAACCTTTGAGGAGGAAAAAAAATCACAAGGGCTAAGAATAGTCATTTAAAAAGACAGCTCCTCTCAAAAAACATTTCTGTAGATCTGCTAGTTAAACACCAAATCAAGTAAAAAACTATTTCACAATTTAATATATCTATATATCTATATCTACATATATATATTCTTTCTATTTATAGCCTAAATGTAGTTTTCTCTTTTAAAGATGAATCATCTATGACCCCATCTGCTTTCCTAATCAACTATTCTCATTTTTTCATGCTTCTTGTCTTTTTTTATTTTTTACTTTTTGGTGCGACTGTGGTATGAACTTAGGGCTTTGTGCTTGTAAAACAGGTGCTCTACCACTTGAGCCACACCTCCACCCCATTTTGCTCTAATTATTTTGAAGATGGGGGTCTTGAGAACTATTTGCCCAGCCTGGCCTCAAACCGCAATCCTCTGGATTTCAGCCTCCCAAGTAGCTAGGGTTACAGACCGAAGGGCTTGTACAACAGGGCTCAGCATTGTTTCTTGTCTTAAATGACATCTCCAATGTGCATATCTCTCCAGTCCTCAAGCGAGCCCACAGTGCTGAGCAGCAGTGGACTCTGTGCCCCCATCTCTGAGGTTGCCAAACTTTGGCACATGCAACAAATCCTGCCCTGCCGTCAGATCTTGAAAATAAAGTTGTGTTGGAACAACACAACTTGTTCTTTCACCTTTTGCTGACAGCTGCTTTTGTACTATAATAGCAATGGTGAACAGGTGCAAAGGAGACTGCACAGCCTATAGAGCCTAAAACGTTTACAATCTGGCCCTTTATGGAGAAAGTCTGCCAATCCTTGACCCAGTTTATTCACATTCACCATTTTTATTCTCCGTCCTTCCTAATCACTGAGAAAAACAGAAACAACCAGAAGGTAACTTCTAAAGATACCTACACCACATCTACCCCCATCCTGTATCTCTACCTTGTTCCACTTTCTGTCTTGTTTTGATAGATGAACTGTCCACAGGCCAACTGAAGGCCCAGCCTCCACTTGCACACTAGGCCCCTCCTCCTCTGCCCACCTAGGTAGGATCTTGCTTAGACACCATCTCATCCTACTTTGCACCCACCCTTTCCTCTACTGGTTGCTCCATTAAATTATCAACTACAAGATCATCCAACATCTTTTTCTTTGCAGTGCTGGGATGGACTACAGGGCCTCACACAAGCTAGGTTAAATGCTCTCCCACTGGGCCACACACCTAACCCAATATCTTTATACCTTAAAAGAAATTAAAACCCTCTTTTTTGCCACCACATCTCCCTCTCAGCATCCTTTACAATAACACTCAAAGAGAGCAGTCTACACACATTGTCTATACATGCTTTCTGCCCATTTTTTTCTCAACTTATTCCAGTTAGGACTTCCCTGTCCTTTCTGCCATTAAACTGGATTTTTATCAAGAACACTAATGAGCTCCTTGTGGCTAAATCCAGTGATCTGTTCCTAGTCTTCCTTAACCCAATGCCAGCTTCATTTGAGGCAACTGATCCGCTCTCTCCTCCTAACACACCATTCTCTCTCGGGTGTCTTCTACCTGACTGACAAAAGCAGTTTCTTTTGCTGTTGTCTCCTTCCCAACCTCTAAGCACTGTCTTTCTTCCACCTGCCCTTGCTCCCTAGATAATCTCATCCAGTCTTAGCTTTAAGTCCTGCTGTGTGCCGAAGGTGCTCTCTTACCTATCTCTAGGTACACCTTCACTCAGTGCAGATTCTACTGCCAATCATCTCCTTATATCAACTTAAAATGTCCCAACTCCTCAGAATGTCCCTCCTGAGATGCTGCCATTATTGATAGTGACACATCTAATTTTCCAAATGGATAGGTCCCAAACTTTAGTTACCATTGACTGTTATTCACTTACACCCAATAGCCAATCTATCAATCTTCCTTCAAAATCACTTCTTACCACCTCCATCAGGTCCAAGCCACCATTATCTCTTGCTTGGGCCACTACAATTACCGCCCCACCAGCTGTTCTACTAGTTTTACCAGGTGTCCCTCCAATTTAATCCTTTTCACAGAAGCCACAGCGATTGATTGCTTTAAAACAGACTTTGTTACAGCTCTACTAAAAGCCTTCCAAAGGCTTCCTGTCACAGAGCAAACGCCAAAGGCCTTGCCATGGCTTACGAGGCCCGTGTGAATCTGCAGCTTCTGTATCTGTAGGTTCCTCCCCTACCACCATCCCCCTCACTCTACTTCAGCTACGCTAGCTTTCTTTGGCGTCCTTGTAGTTCTGGGATCTGCCCAGCTGGCACATGTTGCAGCCCCAGGGACTGTGCACTTGGTCCTCTTCTGGGGACATTCTTCCCCAGTTAGCTAGCAGGTCAAGTTCCTCTTTCCTTTAAATTTCAGCTCAGAAGTCTCTTTGGGCAATGTAGCTTAGTCTAACTTAAAGTAGCCAACCATCCACCCTGATCTCAAATACACACTTCTATTCCTCCTTGCCCGTTTCATTTCCCCCTTAACACCTGTCACCTAACACAGCTCATGAATTTGTCTATTTATTATTTGCCTCCCCAAAATACAAGTTCAATCAGGACAAGGCTGTTGTCTGCTTGACTGACTACTCTATCCCCTGGGGCCTCGAATAATGTCTGACTCACAGTAGATACTCAATACATTTTTATTTGTATTTTTTATCTATTTATTTTTTCACATGTGGCTTTTAAAACAGATATATTTTTAAATGAATGAAGCTAAAAGATGAATTAAAGGCAAACTAAGGTTAAATGTAAAATAACTTTTAAAACTTATTATGAAGAATATTTTAGTATTTCATAGAACTGTTTAATCAATATTCAGCCTCGTTCCTTACCAGAAGTCTCTATGTAGTAGTGGGTAATTGCCTTCCAGTGGTACACAAAATCTTCTTGTAAGGGAAGAGAAGGCGCAAGCTACACAAACACACGAAAAGACCAACAGTAAGGACGTGGCATTAGGTTTCCCATGAAGCACAACTCACTCTCCATTGTCTATCACAGTGCAGAGCAGCATAAAAATCAGAGTTTTAACTCAATTCTGTGTCTCAGGTCAAAGAGACACAAAGTGAGTTGAATCCAAAAAAGTGAAAATGACTTAGAATTCATTATAAATCACTATGGTATCGATTATCACATTATTATTATAACTAGAACATTGGGTTTTTCCCCCTTCCCTTCAACTACGTGGCTCCAAAAATAACTCCGTTCGGCTCTCCACTTATTTCCCGGTCTTTTGCTCCACCGCGCCTGCGGAGGAGGGCGGTCGGGCGGCCTCGCGCGTCTTTCGGGCCATGCCACGGCCCCGCCGAGGGTCCACGCGCCGGACACGACCTGTACCGTGCCTGACCGCGCAGGACCACCGCGCAGGACCACCGCGCAGGACCACCGTGGAGAGCGCGCTTGTGAAAACAGACACGCGCAGAGCTCTTCCTGGGGGGATGGAAGAGCAGCTCCGTGTTCTCGCTTGCCTGCAAAACACTTCAGAGATGTAGGAGCTGGTGTCATAGATGAAGATTGTAGAGGAAATGTTGGTGCTATACTGTTTAATTTTGGCGAAGAGAAATTTGAAGTAAAAAAGGGTGATTGAATTGCTCAGCTCATTTGTGAACGGATTTTTTATCCAGAAATAGAAGTTCAAGTGTTGGAGGACACTGAAAGGGGCTCGGGAGGTTTTGGTTCCACTGCAAAGAATTAAAATTTGGGCCAAGACTAGAAAGTGAAAAACATACTTCTTTTTTCTTAAAAATTGGGAGGTTTTGCTTAAATTGTTGGTGTTTGGCACCACTGTAAACTTAATTGTTTTAACATTTGTAAAAAGACTTCATTTTCTTATAGTAAATGAAAGGATCACTTTTCTTCTGTTTTCTGCAGTTGATGGTTGCTTGTAAATCTGCTTTGTGATCTAATGCAAACATTTTTTAAATCAGATGTACAGTTAACAGATTTTTTAAACTGTGTTATTTAGTTCAATAAACGATACCCCTTCAAAAAAAAATAACTATGTTAAGTCAAAACACACCAATATTCTATTACTGAAGTACCTAAAATTATGGACAAAAAGATATCTTTGTACTTGGGACTTTGAAATGCAAAACAGTAAAAAGTGGCAATGCAATCAGTTACACGTCACCACTATCAAAACATACAGCAAAGTCTATGTCATAATCAGATTAAAGTGTTCCCTACTTTCAATGACATCCCAATGTAAATCTTTTCATATTTAAGCCTGGATTACACAGTGCATATTTTTAGCAAAATAACTACATGAACAAGACACTACCAATTTAAATTCCACAAAGTTGAAGATGTTTTGCATTTTAAGCTTTGAAATTTACTTCAGACATTTTAAAGCCAAAATTAACACCCTTGAGCCATCTCACCGCAGACCAACAAATATTTTGAAAGCATGGTAAATGGGTAGAAAAAGACTTGGCTGCATCTTCTTCAGCATCTTTCCTTAAAGATTGAGTGCTCTGCAAGTCCTAGTGTCATCAGTCAAGTTTGGTCACAAAGGACAGCGCTGAGCCAACTTTGTTTAGAACAAATCCGTTTCTGTTCTGGGAACCTAAGAAACAGCAGGGTGACCTTCCATTTTCATATACTCCATCTGTACCAAGGACCTAAAGGGAGTCAGGTTACTCCTGAACTTCCACTTGTTCCATGTTGACATCTTGCTGTCCTTAGCAGTGACCTCAAAGTTGACAACACTGAAAACAATTTCAAAACCATTGTGCAAACTATAACAAGTAGCCATAGATATCTTAAGTGTCGCAATCCAGAAAGTGAAATGTATTTGTGGGAAAAAAATGGACCTAAAAAATTTTCAACAGTCATTATCATCTTAATGCCAACTCTTTCACACTTGCCTGTATGTGCTGCTCTGTGTAGACATGGATTAAGAGATTATAAATATTCACTTCCTTTTAAATAGAATGCTATGAAATCTTCTAAAAAAGATTTAAGCAAGAAGTTAAAACTAGGAGTACTTAGCTTCACAGAGTTAAATGCACTAACAAGAGGGATGAATACAGATAGATTAGCTGTTTCAAGATCTGTACCAAGTATTGAAGTGTAAATATGGTGAGTTGTTCAATTTTTCCAAGGGAACCTCTGAGGGATCTATGGAATGACAGTATTTTTCCAGATTATTTTACCAGTGGGCCTTAACTATAAGTCACTAGACCAGGAAGGGTTTACAGAATTTGTGTGGGGAACTTTGTTGTAGAATACAGTCAAATTCAAACCAGGATGACGCTGATCACTTCCTGCATACCTCTCTCCCAGAGGGTATGAGGCAGGCTGGAAGCAGGAAAAGTTTGGGGCTCCTGTAGGTTGCCTGGGGATGTCCCAGACCACCCTCACCTGGCTGGGAACCGGCCATGCCCCTCCTCACTTGTTCATTATTGGGTGGGAACCTCCTGGGCCTGCCTTCCCATGGGGTAGTGTAGTTTTTAAAGGCACCTGAAAAAGAAAAGCATTCTCTCTCTGCCGGCGAACTCTACTTGTGCGCACCTTGCCCTTCTTCTTCTTTCCTTTTCCCATCTGGCAGAATGGATGACTCCCTTCCCTCAGTATAGCTATCCTACCTCACCCCATCCATGTGCTCTGCTTGGATTTTTCTATTTGGAGCACAAAACCCAGGATCTTCTTATCACAGACTGTACCAGTGCCGTTAACAGGGAGACAGCTGAACAGTTCCAAACTGCTAATAATTTATGATAACAATCTTATTTAAACATGAAAAGATTTCCTTACATATATAAAACTTTCTAGTAAACCTGCCCTTTTTGCTAATAGTTATTAACTCTACCATGCAAACTATCCATTTTACCATTGTATAAAAACATTTATGCTCTGGGTTTAAAAAAAAAATGAAAGCAATGTGAGAATCAGCCACACAAGATTCAAATTTAAGTTTTTACCATACAGAGATTAAATTTTTAAAACTTTATGCAATCACTGTCTTGACCAAAAATGGAGATGAATACCTGAAATTCTGCGTTCTCTGGGAATCCTTTCCCTCCTACACCTGGCAATGTCTGCAGTCCAGTTCCCCATTCCGTACCCTCTTTGGTCATGCTCAACATCTCCCCCTCTAGGTTATCATCAATCTTCTGTTTCCAACTCAGTGATGATGTACAAAGTATTCAAAAATATTTATTACATGAAGTGAGTAATAATGGATGGCACAGCAGTTACTGCCATTTGATGAGTAATTAATTATGTGCTGGGCACAGCTATAAACTTTATACACACTGTATGATCTTAATTCTCATGATAAACTATTTAGCTCAGACTCTTATAAAGACCCCAAACCAGTTAACTCACTTGCCTTGGACACTGCTTTTAATAGGACTTTCTCTAACATGCCCACGGACCTACATTGGTAACTCAGGTGAAAACTAGTGTTCAACAGACACCTGTGTTTTAACTGTCTAATAAATCATGGACATTGCACTCCCAGATCTTTCTAAATGCCTCTTCCTTCCCCCAACTTTCTTTATGCCCTTTTCTGTCTTCTCTGCTTCTCCATAGTCTCACTCAAGTCTCATTTCATCCAGAAAACCTTTACCAACTACTTTAAAGTGCCTGAGCCCTTCCTTCTATAGACCTCACTGGCCTGCCCAAACCAACCACCCAAATAATAATGGTTAGTACTCATTAAGCATCAAGCACTTCCTCAACCTTTTATTTGGCAGTACTGGGGTTTGAACTCTGGGTCTCATGCTTGCTAGCCAGGTACTCTACCGTTTGAGCCACACTCTCAGTCCTGAGCATCTCACTTTAATCTTCACGATTCTATGAACTAGATCTACTTATTTCCATTTCATATTGAGGAAATGGTAATGAACAAAGATTTGATGATTTGTCCAAGTGTAGAGAAAGGGACAGAGGCTAGCATGAACCTATTCTGTCACGCTCTAGGGGCTAGGCCACATTCTGATGCATTCCTTACACTGTGACCTAACTGATGTATATGCTTTGTGTTCCTCCTTAGACTTCAAGCATTGGGATCAAGGACACAGATATACCTTGTTTCCCTTGCACTGTGCCATGCTTTCACGGTGGCTCATAAAACATTTGCTGAATGAGAAAGGACTGAAGTTAGAGATCACTTACTGGGAAAGAATATTATTAAAACACTTCATAGGCTGAAGGCATTGCTCAAATGGCAGAGGGCCTGAGTATGAGGCCCTGAGTTCAAAATCAAAACCCAAGTACTATCAATTTAAAAAAGGAAGAAAAACACTTCATATGTTTGAGTAAAGTTCAATTTTTAAATAATTGCTGGGCCCAACAATCATCATTACTAAAACTCTTATCTATAATTTAAAGAGAAAACATTGCACTCAAATTTTGAAGGATGACTTCCATTGAGTTGGTTAAAACAGACAAAACTTCAGAGACAATGCCCTTTATCCTCTCTGAGTAAATCTGCCCTCAAGGGTGGAACTGGTTGGAATTGCAGAGCAAACAGCCCCCTGGCACATTATCAGGCCAAGACTAAGTCCTCATCAAAAACTAAGTTGTGCTAAATAGAAAAGTGTTATTTATCCTTTGGAAAAGTTGTACTAAAACAACCCACTCTAAACTCAGAATTAACATTAAGAGAAGCCTGATTTCAGACTTGTGATATGTGGCACCTGGCTGACATTCATTTCATAAGACTCTGAACAGTCAATCATTTCTATGCTGAGGGAAGACTGCCTTTTCTGGAAAGAGCCAAGAATTACTACAATAGAGCTCTTGTTTTTGATAAATGTGTGAATTTCTCTCCTCCACCCAAAACTCAAGTCTATCAGCTTAAAAACACATTTTCAAATACTAGTCTTTGAAAATATCTTAGTTGTATTTTCCCGCTTTGTAGGTAGTTAACAGGAAGTGAAGAGAAACCATAACTAAAACAATACAGAGAGTACATCTAACTTCATTTAAATGAACATTTCTGGTCAACTGTTTAACAAAGCAAAACTAAACCACTTGAAGACTGATCCAAATGAATATGGAAATATTAAAAGTGACAATGCCATGGACTGGTAGAGTGGCTACTTTGCTTAACAAGTGTGAGGCACTGAGTTTAAACACCAGCAAAGTCAAAGGGGGAGGCGGGGAGAAGTGACAACACCAAAGCATTGCTCTACAGACTCACACAGTAACAGCTGAAGAAACATCCCATCAACCTCTAGGTACAGGATTCCCTCTATTTCTGCATGACCCTGATAATTATGTCAACTGAATACTACATCAGAAATTAAAAGGAGTACAGAGGAAATGCTAGTGAACTAAGGAATAGTCAGATTTACTTATAGAAGAAAATATCAAGCAAAAAAAAAAATAAATGGAACTAAATTAACTAGACACTAATTTTGGGTTATGAAAAAACATTCTTCAAATACCACAGGATGGCTTACTTTTATCATTACAGGAGAGAATACAAACAGGAAAAAAAAGTACGTCAAACAATTTTGATGAGACATACCTCCCCCCAAGGTAAACTGGGGGTTATCGGTGTCACAGCTAGAAATACCAGCACTGAGTAAATGAAACACTGTGTTCCTAAAGGCAATGCATTCATTCCTAAGACCAGGTGATAAAATCCACTCTAACTTTTCTCACTAACCTCAGCAAAGTAGAGAACCTGGATATTACAGAGGCAGAAGCAGATGACTGACGTGCATAATTTGCTAGATGCCAATAATATACACAATTATTAAAAGATTATGGAGAGAGAAAACACAGGCCTTGGAACAAAAATGAGCCTGTGTAGGAAGAACAGGAAAGGCACCTTTATACTCATTTCTGTAAATACCAGCCTGATGGGTAAAGGATATAAGCAATGTAATAAATTCTTATTTCCAATTATTTCAATATTAAGCTATACTCAATGTTAAAAGTTAAATGATTCTTAGAGTTTTAAAGAATATAAAATATAAATTTTGCAGTTCTTATAAATTTTAGTTAAATTCTTTTTACATAATGATACATGTATAAGCAAGAAAGTAAAACTTAAAGTTGGGTCTTACAGTCTACAACTGTCACTTCGCTCATGTGTAAGGAACACTGCTTTTCATTCATGATACCCAAGAGCTTGTTCCAGGGCTAAATTTTAAAACAGTTCCATCTGTCACTAACAATTGTACTAAAGTTTGCTTTGCATAACCAAAATATAAATGTCCACTTTACTTTCGTTACCTGATCATAAAAAATTATTCTGTTACATTTGACTTTTTTGAAGTTGTGTGAATTTCAAAGTGCCATATCATGGTAACCTGAACATGGACCTTTCCATGTTGGCATTTTCAAAGTGAACAAAGTAACTGTTTCTTCACAGGCTGCATTATTCAAGTTGGGCAATTCTCCCAGAATGAAGGAAGCAACTAAGGCAAAGCCACGGGCCCATTTATTACTAAAACACAGCAAGGCATTCTCTTTTTCGGGTTCTTCTTATTAGTCAGATTAGAATATCTGAATAATGTCCCTCTAAATCCTCAAAAGGCAGCACAATTGTAGGATAACCCAAGAGTGTCCAGGAAGCGCATATATTAGACAAGAAAGGAAACAGATGGTATCTGCTGGGTGAGCTTGGACTCGGCTTTTGAAAGCAAACTCGAATGGACCCTAAGAACTCTTACTGCATGCAGATCAATCAATAAGGGCCAGCTGAGTCGGGCCACCAGGCCTGAGCAAGCAGAAGTGAGTCTGATTACAAAACCGGGTCTGGTCAGCTGCTTCCTCGCTGGTCCCCCGCAGCCAGATCACACCTTTCCCAGCCCACCCTCCATCCCCCCACCCCCCCACAAAAAAAGCAAAGCACAACAAAACCCAGCCAGCAGTGTGTGGTCATTTCTTTTGTCTTGCTCAACGCTGGCCACTAATTTTTTCCGGATAAGACTAACGGTCCAGGAGCCCGGGGTGGGGGTGGGGAGCTCCCCGTAGCCCATCGGGTGCTCCCCGATTGACTCCCTTGTCCCCCATCACGGGAAGAGGCGACCACTGAACCCGGCCGGGAGGGCGGGTCCTTCCTGGGTCACCTCTGTCACCCTTCTGGAGGAGGGGAGGGGTCCCGGCCAGCCAGCGCACAAGGAAAGCGGGGTACCCGCTGAGCCAGGCCCAGTCCCCGCGCCCCCGACGGCCGGCGCGTCCCCGGGGCCTGGCGCTCTCCGCGGGCCGGGGCCACCGAGGCCGGAAAGCGGCTGCCCCGGCCGGCAGGGAGCGTAGGCCGCCGCCATCCCCGGCCTGCCGTGCGCGCGCGGCCCCGCGGCCTTACCGCCTCCACGGCGTGCTGCAGGATGGAGGTGAACTTGGAGAACATCTTGTCCCGGGACTGCAGCAGCTTCTCCCGGGACGACCTGGAGAGCTCCTCGATCCGCCGCCGCCGCCCCTGCTGCGGCTGCCGGGGCCGCTCCAGAGTGAAGGCCGGTGCGGGGCGGGGAGGACGAGCAGAGGGCCGAGGCAGGGCCGGGCCTGGCCGCCGCAGCTGTGCGGGAGGCGCGGCGGCTCGGGCGGGCGCGGGGACGCGGGGAGAAGGGCGCTCGGTACGGACTCGGGCCCCGCGGAGCTCGGCTGGCGGCGGCGGCGGCGGCGGCTCGGACACGGTGGCAGCCGGCTCGGTTCCTTCCGCCCGCTCTGCCCGCCGCCGCCTGCAGGGGGCGCCGCCGCAGCCTGGGGAGTCCAGCCAGGTCCGGCCTGCGGCGGGCGCTGGACGCCGGGAGCGCGCGCGGGCGCGGGCGCGCGCGGAGAGAGGCCGAGGCCCGCCAGCCTGGGGCCCGGGACAGCCACCGCCCTCTCCGGGGCTCCAGGGCGCCGGACTCCAGCATTCTTGCAGCTTTCCTCTTGAGCCAGCCTCCCAGGTCTGTTTCTGCAGTGAAAGTACTGTGCTGGCTTTGAAGGGAAGCGCAGCCATTCACCTATGTATATGACATTCGGAGGTTTGGCCTCCTAGGGCTGACTGGTCAGAAGAAAGCCACTGTCCCAAAGCAAATGCTGAGAATGTGAACAAATGAAATGGCTTTGCTAACTGCGGGATATGGTGTCATTATTATTCAACTTCAAAACAGGAAGTTCCATAAATGGTAGGATGGTTCAGGTCAATAAGTCAGTATATTAACTTATGGCATGTCTGAGATGTGCAGCGATTCGGTATAGCATTTTCTGTTCAGCTATCAGATGATACTGGAAAGCGTTAGTGAAGGAAAGAATCAGGAAGGATGCTAGGAAAGGCGCAGGACTGGTAAGTGACGCTAGCTAGAGGCTTCTTAAAGTACTGTGCAACAGTGTTCTCGGCAAGCCTTGAAAAATTCAGGCTGGAAAATTTTAGCTTAGGTTGATACAACTCAGGAAAATGCTGTATCCTGGAGAACGTTGTGTTTATTTATGCTAGTGTTGGTGTTTTACCAAGAGGGACCAGTAAGTTCTTGATAAGGGTGGAGTAATTTTTCCCAACAAGTGATGAAAATATGTATTTGTAATTGAATTAGCTGAAAAGAGAAAAAGCAGAAAAGGTCGCAGCACTACGCAGGATTTTTTTAGTGTTACTGGAGTTTGATCTCAGAGCCTCACACTTGCTAGGCAAGCACTCTACAACTTGAGCTGCTCCACCAGCATCACAGTGCCTTGGAGTGGGGCTGAGACCAGACCCCCAGAACTGGGTAGCCTTCTTAAATCTCATCTCTGCTACTCCTAGGAGCAGGCTGTTGAACCTCTTCGTGCTGTAGTTTCTTCATCTGTACAAAGGAAAACATAGCACGAATCTCATGAGGTTGTTAGGAGAATTCATTAATAAATGTAAATCACTGTTAACAGGTCCCATTCACAGTAGGAAATGCATCGGCATTTGTTGTTATTGTTGTTCAGTTGTAGTATTTAACAAAATAATAGGGCCAGAAATCAAGATCTCAGGAGGACACTTTAGTCTTGTGTGCTTTGTTCTTTCTCCCAGTTTTTGTTGCTTCTCAGTCTCTCTCTTTTTCTCTCCTCCTCACTTCCTCTTTCTTTCTTGGCAGCACTGGGGTTTGAACTCAGGGCTTGCTAGGCAGGTGCTCTTATCACTTGAGCCACTCCATCAGCCTTTGTTGTTTATCTCTGCTGTGTGCAAAGGCAGGAAATTTGACCTTGGTTTTCCATAGACTAGAAAGCTGGAGGCACCCTCTATTGTTTGTGAAACATTGAAATGTGCTCCTTACCAAATTCTGGCTCCTGGTTCCTGCTTCAACCAAGACCACATAATGACGGTGATGATTATTATTATCCACACAGTTTAAAATGGCTGGTCATATTATTACCATAATTATTTTCCTAGCCTAATTGTCATATATTTATATGGCATTTTGAGTTTTCATCATACCTTGCAACCACTAATTGCATGAGAAGGTCTGCTTAAATCAGGCTTAGAGTAGTTTGCAATTGATGCCTATCTTTGTATACTTATTTTAGACACAATAAAACATGTATTTTGCTCTAGATTAATATCAATACTTAGGGTAATGATTCATCTACCTGATCTCTAATTTCCAAGACCCACAGGTTGGCCTATGATTGATAACTGAGCAGACATTCCTATTCCTTATTCTCATCCTGGAATGTGAGTGGTGACACTAACCTCATAATCAGCCTAATGCACAAATACAGGCAGACCTATCTCAACAAACTATGATTTCAGAAAACACAAGGAAGATTTCCCTTAGCCTCCAAAACACTTAGATTTGATGTCCTGATATTCTTTAATTAGACTTTCATTTCTTTCTTCCTTTAACTTAACCAACTAAGAACTTTAGTCCCTGTTAGAGTACTATTGGCCAAGATAACACATTAAACTCTGATTCATTATACCTCAGGGTTAATGTGAATGAATTTGTTAAATTTGTTTCTAAATTTAATCAGACACTAGAAAAACTGAAGTCCATTCAGAATGGAGTTGAGAAAAGAGATAGAAGAAACAGATGATACCTGCTTCCAAAGTTTGTCAGACTTTTGGTTAAATATGTGAGTGGAACACATGAACTTAGCCTACATTCCCTGCTGAAGCCTACTAAAATGACAGTAAAGGGATTTTTTTGTTTGGAAGTATAAACCTACAAGGATAAATAAAATGGGAGAATTTTGAGAACTAGAAATTAGGTGTAACTAGTTTTCTAGAATTGTAGCTAGCTGTGGCTGAACTAAAGCTGAACCCTGAGGCAACAATGAAGAAAGTCAGAAACCAAGTTATACATAAATATGTTCACAGATCCTGTCAAGGCTTAGGAATTGGTGGTGATAGGTACCTCTGGAAGTGGAGGTTAAGATGGGCCAAAAATAGCAGAATGGATTGAACGTTTAGAACTAGATAGACAGCTCCCTACTCTACAAGGTTGGCACTGCCCTGTCTTCAATCCTAGTGTAAGATGAAAGACTTACTCCCTGGAAGGGCAGAAGTACTATTCTGGGGAGAGAAGAGGGTAACATGAAAGTAAACATTGTGAATGTTAAGAAACACATACCCAGGCTGAAGATGAGGCCTCTCGTTTCCCATACATCAATCTGATAGAAAAATCTAGGTAGAAAAGGTCTCTGTTCTGGGAGAACAGAGTAGTCCAAGAGAAGAGACCGACAGATACAGACAGGAACCTCCGTGAGAAGCTCCATCCACATGGTCAGAGCTTCCAGTCATTTTTATTGAGCACCTCTCTTAAAGTCGGATCAGACCCCCAGGGTCATCAAAACTGTGAGAAAACCGGGCAGCAGTAATCCTAGCTACTCAGGAGGCAGAGATCAGGAGGATTGCGGTTTGAAACCAGCCCTGGGCAAATGGTTCATGAGACCCTAACTCAGAAATGCCCAACACACACACACAAAAAAAATGACTGGCAGAGTGGCTCACGTGGTAGAGTGCCTGCCTGGCAAGTGTGAGGCCCTGAGTTCAAACCCCAGTAACACCAAAAAAAAAAAAAAAAAAGTGAGAAAAGTATATTATATAAAGATAGAGACCAAAAGGAACAAGCGAATTGGTGGGGTGGGGGAGGCTTGTAAGAGACACAGTTGTTTACATTGAACTTGCCAGGGGGAGGTAGGGAATGCAAGTTAAGAAAAAAACAGTATCAATAATATTCTCACAGATGTTATCGAAGATATTGGACCCATAAACAAGAATGATACTTCAAAAACAAAAACGGAAACTCTTGGAAATTAAGAATGTAATAACAGAAATGAAAACAGTAATGCATAGATGTTGGAAAATAAACTCTGAAATGTTTTCACAAAGACTAGCAAAAATGGTGCAGAAATGAAAAAAATGGAGGGAAAAAGGTTTTAAAAATTAGAGAGTATGCTGAGAGGATTCAACATCTGAATAAGTGAAGAGAGCAGAGGGAAGAGGATAGTAAACTGATAAGTCAGTATAATTTTATAGACTTAAAAGACAGCATATCCAGACTGAGAGGGTCCATGAAATATCAGAATAGTTATTGTAAAATTTCAGAGCACCAGTTTAAGAAAAATCCTTTAACATTTCTAAAGACAGAAAACAAAAATAAGTTCATACAAAGAATCAAGAATGACAGTGACATTACATTTTTCAGTACAACCTGAGAAGTGAGAAAGCATTGGGGAAATGTCTTCAAAATTCTGGGGTGAAATTATTTCCATCCTAGAATTCTATGCTAATTCATAGAGTTTATAGAGTGTGAGAGTAAAATAAGTCATTTGTTGACATTTTTTCTACCTTTTACCTTTTAATGAGAAACTGCTAGAAGATGTGCCTCATCAAAATTCAGGAAATAAACCAAGGGAGGAAAAAGATAAAAGAATCAGGTCACAAGCCCACCCTAGAGAGAGATGAAGGAAATTCCTAGGACTGTCAAGTTGAATCCTAGGATGACAACAGGTGGCACAACCAACCAGTCTGGATGAGATCAGCTCAGAAGGCTCCAGGAGAGATTTCCTGAAAATGAAACAGAGAAGTGGAGTATCTAATGAGTTTGAGCAGGTTTTCCAGACATGGGAAAAGCTTTATATTGAATTAGTAATAAACACAAAGAAAACTAAGGAAAGAAGAGAAAAAGCTAGACCATTATTAACACCAAAATGAATGCAATGTGCTTGAAACTGTATATATGATTTACATAATCATAGTCATGCTAACAGTGAACACTGATCCAAGTGGGACTGTGGCATTGCCATATTGGATGGATGAAGTAGTAAGTGGTAAAAGTAGGGAGAGGGGTATTTGAAAATAAGCTAAACCTTCATCGTGGGAAAATATTTGCTACTACTTAAAACAGAAATATCAAGAAGTGGCATAAGAGAAAGGGGGTCTGGAGTTTGGATAAGAAGTAGAGCACTTGCCTAGCATGTGCACGGCCCTGACATACTGCAAGAAAAAAAAAAGAGGAAAAAGCACACTATTTTTAATAACCACATTACTTAAAGAAAGGAAGCCAATAACATTCAGCATTGAAAGAGGAAGCAGGAAATTGAGAATTTAGGGGAAAAGACCAAAGCTTTCATAATAAACTTAACTCTTCCCTAAACTATATATTGGTATAACACAAAGTTTGGCAAGAGGAGAAACTAAAGGCAGGAAATATTTTATTTATTTTTTTGGTGAGACGGGTTGAACTCAGGGCTTTGCACTTGCAAAACAGGTGCTGTACTGCTTGAGCCACTCCTCCAGTCAATTTTGCTCTGGTTATTTTGGAAATGAGGTCTCAAGAACTATATGCCCCAGCTTGCCTCTTACCTCTATCCTCCCTATCTTAGCCTCCCAAGTAGCCAGGATTACAGGCATAAGCCACCAATACTCAGCAGGAAATAATTTTTGATGCTTTTGTAAAAGTTCATAGTTTATAACCTGTTCATAAGTTATTAACCTGTAGGAGTAGGAAGGAGATGGTAGACTTGAAAGCTGAGGTGAGATCAAGCAAATTTTTCAGGTGATATTAGGCATGAGTGAGGAGAAGTCATTGCTGGATTTATGGCTTTGATGAGGTTA